ATTCAATGCGAGTGTTCGTGCGATGCGAACGTTCGGAACGAGACGCTCCGAGATATTCTCAACGGCCTCTTTGTGGCGTCAATTCAATTTTGACACACAGACACGATTGCAGATATAATTGTAACTTTGTGTACGCGCGAGAATTTTTCTACTTGCGAGTATTATGCGCGTTAGAAATGTTCCGGTGCACAAGGTCAAGTCGAGAAAAGGAGTGTAACGTGCCAAGCGAGACGGAAATTGAAGTATTTTACGAATTACAGACCGGTTACAATTACCTGGTGGAAAAGAAATCATCGTCTTTTCATAAATCGGCCGGAATTCGTGTCACGGTCGGGAATATCCAAACCGCGCTTGCAGTCAAAGCGCTCGAGCTCGCAGTGAAACGATCTGTTTGCCAGGCGATTCGCCGCGATCCTCGAATCTTTTCGGACCACGAGGAAAATTTGGTCATTGCAAATCCACCCGTCGCTTTTATCGAGACAAGCGTGCGCGCGCGCGATCGGCTTATTTGAGCTAAATCTCCCGCGCGTGGCGTATCTGGTTTATCGAAACGCGGTCGAATGAATAATTTCAACGGATAAAGCGAGACTTTATGATTTCATACGAAGCTGAGTTTCCATGAAAATTATTTCGCTTAAAATTTCATGTCCAAGCCGGGGTTATTTTTAAAATAGAATATGCTGCGCGCGTGTGTGCCGTAAGAGAAAAATGTATGATCTGAAACATTTAATCCGTTATTGATTTGTTCATCACGCGAAGCATTCTGGTGTAACTGTGAAACCGAATTGGCGTAACCTGATTCGACGGGCAAATCGTGGAAAATAAAAAAAAGAACATGGTGTTAATATTTTACGTAAAAAATTGGACTTCGTCTTCAAAATAGGAAAACTTTTGAATCGAAACATGCGCAAAAGCACATAGTACGTGATAGGTATTGACAAGCGTAAAATTACTTTTAGCAGGCTTTACGTAGCACCGTAAAATCTATTCTTCGGTTGGTGGCGAAAATCAAGACACATTCATATGGGATTTATATCGACATAACTTCTTCCGAGACTCGGAGCAGCGACGGTTTACAAAGACTACATATTATACAGTACAATAAAATACGAGCTGTGGAGTTTCTGGTTTTGGAACGAAGCGATTAATACCTGAATTCTCCTTGTGACCGGCTACTGCGTGTACCTGAAAAGAAGAAACAAAACCGATACATTCACATTTGCGAGTAGAACGCGAGATTTTTGTCGTTTCTTAATTTTAGATAGATTTTATTTTAACCGAATTTTTAACCGAAATGATTTTACTTGCGTTTAACAAGATTTTTCTGGAAAGTACAGTAAGTCCTTCAAATTTTCTAAATGAGAGTTTCTGAATAGCGACAGTTTCTGAGTAGCGACGTTCGCTACGATTTGGAGGCTTTTTCTACAAATTCGTATTTTCTTACGTAATTACGTAAAACAGACTTAATTTGATCGTGCGACCGTAGAGAAATAAATGTGACGTTGATCTCTCGTGAAAGATCGTTGTGTCATACATATGCAACGCTGAGCAGCGAAGGTGTTGAAATGTATTAATTAACCCAATACGTTAATTTCCCTCTACCGACCTGAGCAGCGGCCTCCCGTCGCTGCAAGGAACCCTTCTCGGCGTCCGGCAGTTTCTCCGACCTGGTGATTTCGCGAACAAGCCCCCGGCGACCATCTGAATCCTGCGAGGGCGGTCTTCCGGGCGCTCTCCTCTTTCTCGACGAGCTCGCGTCGCTCGAATCCGCGACGGTCCCGACGTCTTCGTCGAAACTTCTCGAGTGGATCACGGTGAAGCCGCCTAGAAATTGCACGGACTTTTTCGCGCCAACTTGGCTGTGTTGCGTCTCCTTGTCGAACGGACGCGAGACGTCGTTCCTCCCGTGTTCCTTCGTCACCTTCGCTCCAGACTCCGTCTTTTCACGGACTGCCGGCGAGTCACGAGGATCTTCCGGAAGCCTCGAGGCAAAAGTCAAAGGTCGAGCTTCGCTGTGGAACGTTAGAACGGGAACGTTTCCTTGGAAAAGGTTCTCATCTCCTCCCGTTCTTTCCTTTCGCTCTGTCGTTACTTCCGGCCGCTGCGAGTTCCTCGCGGCGACGCCCGGCGCCGCCGCCGTCTCGGTGGACTTACGCCTGACTACTTTTCCGCTATCGTTAAGTTCAGATTGTCCCGCGTCTCCCCGAATCTCGTAGTACTTGACGAAGCTCCTAACTTTACCCGGGGTTATTGTTACAACGTCACGGGACGATTGGTCGTTACTTACGGCTACGGGTGTTACGGCCCTGTTATTGTCATTATTATTACAAGGGGTTACGGAAATATTCTTCCTAGCTATGGCACACTTATCGCCGCTATCCTCTAACGCCGGCCGACTCGCGATCCTTCGATCCACGTCGATTACTTCTTCGTCAGTCTTCTTCTCGTCGCCGTGCGCTTCCCCCAAAGCTTCCTCGCGCACCTTCCGGCGCGACGCGCACGTCTCGAGTTCTCTGCTGTCGAAAATCTTGTTCATCGTCGTGGGCGCCCCGATGGGAATTCTCTTCGGCCGCCGCTCGACGCTTGTTGTTTTAAGTATCGTCTTGGGAGCGCGAACGTCTCGCGATCTTCTCGGCTTGACCTCGCCGGTGCTCTCCACGGGCGCGCCGTTGGCTTTCGCCTCGGTCTCATTCGATTTCATGTCGATCTCCGTCTTCGTCGAGGTATTCTTCGCGATTTTTACACCGCGGTGCGACGCCTCGGGCATCGTCGCCTCGTCGGTATTTCGATACCTTGTGATTTTCTTCCCGCCAACCGCCGGATCGCGAGTGTCGCTTTCGGGATTTTCACACCCACCTTTGATCTTCGTGTCCGCGGGAACTCCTTTCGCGATTTCTTCGGTGATCGTCGCGTTATTATCCGCCTCAGTGGAGATCGTAAGAACGCTGCAAGCTTGAGGCTCGAAGTCTCGAGATTTTCCTCGCACTCGCCGTGGGAAAGCTGTATCCCCCCTCTCATCGGCGATTCCGTTATCGACCGGACGAGCAATATTTTCGTCGTCGCCCGCCCGCGTTTTCGCCGTCTCCGGGCTCACCAGTTTTAATTTGATATTGTTGAAATTGCAGAGCAGCTCGTTCAATACGTCACTCTTCACCTCACCGGCGCTTTTATTCTCCGATTGCGTTACGTCAGAGACCACAGCGATCCTTTCTTTCGCCCCTTTGGAGTCCCTAGGAACGTCCTGATCGTCCCTTTTCGTCGTGATATTCAATCCGCGCGAGCATCCGCTTTCTCCCGCGATATCCGATTTCCCTGCTTTATTTTGTACGCCATTCGGAATGTTTACTTCTTTATCCACGCTTGGAGACGGTATCGTAGCGGCAATAATTGCGCGATCTGCTGAATCGTCGGATAACATGGTCTCCAGGAAGGAATTTCGTCTAACCTTCACAGGAACGCTCTTTGCGAAGGTTTCTTCCGACGGCGAGACTTGCTCGCAGCTATTTCCGGAACCCAAGGAGCCGCCTGCTTCTTTATTTTCTACTATCGATAATCGCCGGGTTTCCTCGGTTCCGAACGATTTTCTCGCGAGATCACCGATGAAGATTTCGGATCCGTCGTTGGAATCGTCCGGATTCGCGTTAGCGTCGTCGAGGCGGCTCGAAGCATTTCGGAGTGACTCACCGATGAAGACCTTCTCGTTCTTGGCAATGGGCTTCTCTTTGATGTCATCGCTTGTTTCTTTCAAAAATACTTCTTCTCGCGGCGGCCTCCTCAACATTATTTTCGCCGCGTTTGCCTCTTCGGTTCCGCAGGCCGAGCTTTCATCCGTAAAACTATAAGTGTTCTCCGCTATCTCAGAAGAAGCATCCAACATCTGACTTTGATCCGTCCGCTTTCCAGCGTTTCCTCCGCTCGTAACCGGAACTATTATTTTTTCCTCTCCGGGATTCTCAACCTGTCCGTTCCACGACGCCAAATTGGAATCCCCTTTGCGAATTTCCCCGCAATTAACGTAGTTGTCTTCATCGGCATAACGCGTCCTTAATATTACGCCGGCCGCGTCCGCCGACGTGAAAGCATCGTCTTTTGCCGTAGCGATATTACTTTTGTCGGTACTCGGTTTTCCTTGCGAATCAATTCTGCAATTTTCCATGTCCGCACGCTCGTCTCGGATTTCAGCGAGCTTCGAGGAAGGAGCGACTCGACGTTCGTCGGTTTGCTCTCCGTCCCGGATGGACTCGCGCAAACTTTCACACGGTGCGCCGATTCTTACGTCGGCGTTGAGCTCGGAAGTAGGACTCGGCGATTCGATGACGAATCGTACTTTCGTGCCGACCCGACAATCTGGATCTTCGTTGATATCGGAAGAATCACAGCCGGAGGATCTTCCACCGTTCACCCGAGTGTCCCCACCTATACTGTCCTCGAATCGGTAGTCACCGGGTTTCGGAGCGAACTCTTCGTCGAAAGGGCTCGTTCGTCTTTCCAGGCACCTTTCGAACGGAAAGTTCGTCGTCGTCACGCGAAAACAAACGTCGTCGCCGTCCAGCTTACACACCGTCGACGACTCGCCCTTCGCCGGCGCGGTGTTTTCTCGCTTCCACGTGGCGGACATCACTTCCTGGAAATCGCGCATCGTGAAGAAGAGCGGTGGATATTTGTCGGTTGCCTTTCGTTTAGACGCGACGTCGATGGGACGGCGTCGCGGCACACTTGACGTTGATCCCGGAATTAGGTCATCGTTCGCGTCGCCTGTCGAGTTCTCCCATGTGGATATCGCGTCGCACGATCTCGGGGACTTCGCTTCGATCACAGCCGCCGCGATGTCGGTGCGCCGCTCACTCCCGACACTTGCGGCCGTCGGACAGCTCGCGGTGTCGCATTGCGGCTGGCAGGTTTCGGCAGATCGAGATTTGTTCCGTCGACATTTCTCCGGCGGGGGCGGCAGAGGAGGCGGCGGCGGACGTTTTTCTTCAGGTCTCGCGTCGCTCGTGGTTTCGCTCGTTATCGACATCGCGACAGTTTTGATCTTGCGCTTTGTACGCCGCGGTGGCACGGGTGGCTCAGTCGGGTTTCTCTTATCTGCAGGGAGAGAGAGAGAAAGAGATATTCCCAACTTTAAAAGAGAAGTCAATTGGTTTCGCTGAAATGGCGAACGAACGATATTAAATGATTACTTTTTACGGGAAATTTCAGAGTACTTTTGGTAAGTACACGGAGAAAAACATTTTGTCGGAACAGCAAAGAGATTTGTTACGCGAGAAAAATAATATTGCTGCTTGAACAGAACGTTGTTGCGATAACGATAAAATTTACTTGACATAATCAACAATTAATACTCTTAACAAAGCTTTTTGTCGTCATTATATTAACAAACAATTTGCTTGTTCCGACACGGGATCCTATGATTATCCCTGGGGATATATGCCAAAAACCCAGATCCTAGGTCAACAATCCATGTGAATTCCTACATGAATTTTCACACACCACGTGGATTCCTATACAGATTTTCAACAGGGAAGTACTGTAACTTTTACTACGGTTCTTACAATTATGCATATCGCGGAGGCGATGCTGTTAATATGATTAACGAGCGAATTATTCAGTTCGCGACACGAACGCGAGAGAATAACCACGACGTTAGGCCGCCCGAGACATACTAAAAGTGATTCCTTAGAAATGACACGTCAAGCCTCCCCTTCCTGATGCCCGGTCAATAACAACGCTTTTGCCGAGCTTTATTTTCACGCTGAATGTAATTTCATTAAGAAAGGATAGGAAGCACCCGGTGAAATATTGAAGTAGATTATCATCGGGAAAATTTCATTGTGTGTGCGTCTTCATTGTAACGCACGTGAAAAATCGACGAGATGTTATATTCGAGTTTAAATTCTAGCCCGACGAGAAACAGAGAGAGAGAGAGAGAAGGAACGCGCATTTTGTTCTACAAAATCGCTTGAATATTTTCCTGTCGAATAAAACTCGGGGTTTTCCTTTCATCTACGAGATACGATAGGCCCCGTTTGTGATATTTCCCATTGAATGGGGTAAATGTTAAAAGTAACGAACGGAGTACTTTGGCAACTGCGGGCAAGGCTTCGCTAAACGGATTGAAACAATTCGATTATCCGAACGCCGCCGTGTCGGCATGGCTGCGTACGCGGCCTAATAGTCTTTTCGCAAATAGAATTTCCCTCAACGCGTCCCGCGACGGCCGGCGTAACAGGTCGACTGGGAATTTTACGGCCGCAAAATTACGCGAGCGTATATTCAACATGCGAGGAGCACGACGCAATTTCATACTACACCGACGCGTATGGTCCGCACATACCTAAATGAAAACCTGGCGACTCGTTCTACTGACGTCAAAGTCTTCTAGGCTTAGCAGCATACTGGCAGATTTTAACGCATTATTGTCAACGAGATCAGTCATGTACAGGCTGTTCGCATTATGATTGCCCATGGCGCTGGACGCGGCACTGCTGTATGCGCTCGAAGTGTTCTGCACCGACGCTACGTCCGTGGTTTTCTGAACGATCCACTTGTTCGTCATGCTGGACGTTTCCGCCTCCGACGACACGTCGAATCTGATGTCACTGTGATTAAAAGCGAGATGTTAATTTCGCGGATACCTCAACCGCCGCGATGTCTTTCTCCGAATGATGTTACGTGAGAACGAATCAATTTCCAAAGTCGATGAGTTATATTCGACACGTACGATCGAACGCGAAACACTGTCTTCGAATTCTCAATTTACTTACGATTAACAATTGATGAGTAAATTTGTTCTTGCGAAACACCGTGTACGCGTTTAAATCGATCACCTTCGCTGATAGTACTCACTGCAAGTAATTGCCGTCTGCAGGACGCTGATCCTGTTCGTCTCTCGATTCCGCGCTCTTTCGGGTAACAGCCTGCGAGAGGACCAACTCGATCGTTTCGGAGGAGCTCTGCAGCATCTTCAGAGCATCCTCGTAGCGAAGATTTAACAGATTCTGCTTGTTTATCGCTACAATTCGGTCGCCTGTCAGAAAATTCGGTTGAAGACGCATTAAATTTCATTTATCCTTTATTTATTATTTCAGCGATTTCATTACGAACCTTTATTAACGTTTCCAGCCATATCGGCCGATCCGCCAACGGAGACCGCTTGAACGTAAACTCCGCCATCGTTACCTTCCGTTACTTGCAATCCTATGCTGCCGCCGTGACCTCGTTCTAAATTAATCGTATGCAAAATCCGTTCTTCGGCGAATGAAAGCTCCTCTAATCGAGCCACCAGAGACGCGGACATTGATTCCTCTTCGGGAACTCGGAATGTTTCGTCGTCGGTTCGTATATCGGCGTCTGTTAAAGAAGAACGAGTGGATTTAAGCAAAATCTTGTCCTTCCACGACAATATTTTATAACAAGTGGCCGTACACTTTTGCATTTTATACATAAATTTTTTAAGAAATCAATCAGAGAGAGATGTCACATTTAATCGAATTTATAAGAAATAGCTACGTATGTAACAAGTGTCTATAGGAAAAAATAGTATTATCATATATCGAGAGTTAAATTGGATTAGAGATAAACACCCTTGTTTAGATGCTTAAAAATTTGCAAAGAGATTTACAGAAAGATTTTTATCTGTCAGTGTCGTGCTCAGAGCTTATAATAAATTTATCTGAATATCTTTTATTATTGCTTACTCAGCACGTATGCTTCCGGCATGGGCGATTCGGCGGATCGCGCTGATAGCGATTGAATGGAAGATTCGGTGTCGGACTTGACGGATAGCGATTCCGTGTCGTCGGTAAGCGCGGTATCCTTCTGCGCTAAACTGCTGTAGATCGCGCGTGTTCCCATCTTCACGCCCAGTCGACGCGGTAAACTCGGTGTGCGGAAACCACCCGATTGCCTCGGCGTGCCGTAGTTCGGTAAACTGGATGTCTTCATCTGGAATGGTAACGCGAGCTCGTTCAATAAAGATAGACTTCAAAGTTCAACTTGATTTTGTCACACAACAAATTTTGTCACACGCGTACAATACAGACAACAATGTTAATAGACAATGTTGATAATGTTCTGTTCTTACAACGTTGGCGAAGGATTATAGACAACGAAAACGAATTGATTGATGAATCATTCGTTTCCACTGAATGCAATAACGATAACCATTTGATTCCATAAGAATTTGTTCCATGGTCGGCCCAATTCCAAAATGTTTTGAAAATAATTCCAAATTGTAAGTTTGAAACGTCAACCCAGTAATTAACAGTGACATTACATCAATGTTACATAATTTTTCACTCAATAATGTAAGTGCAATATAAGATGTATGTAACAGTTACATTGTTGAGTGAGAAAATTTTAACATTGATGTAATGTTACTGTTAGTTGGCGTTTGCCGGAAGCATTCAGAGCGTCGAGACAATATCGAATGATTAACGCGCTCGATATTGTACCTTGTGCATTGTCTTCTTCACGTCCGACGCTTTCCAAACTTCGTCCTGAGCGGGAAACTCGGTCTTGCCCGATAGACGAACCTTATTAATGGCGGCGTACAGTTCTTCAGGGTTGTTAGGTTTATCCAGCTGGTTAATGTTGTTCGAGATAGCTTTCGGGAGCGAGTATGCGCATTCGGTTTCAGCCTCGCTGTCCAGCACCGGGCATCCGTAAAGTTTACCGTGTTCCGACTTGATTTCTTTAGGATCTAACAAGATCTCGTCCGGCGTCGTCAAGCCTCTGTCCGATTCTTCCTCGGTATCTCGCGACTCTCCTTCCGGCTCCAGTCGCACGTTCACTTGCGCGTAAAGCGCGTCTTCCTCGGGCGAGTAAAAGCCGGGCTCGACGTCTTTCGCAGCGGGTACATTAGCGTCCTTCTGAGGATTCTCATTCTCCTTGTTCTGATACTCCTCCAACTGCATCGGATAGTTCATCCTCTGTTGCACCATGACCGTGTTCGCGATCGTTATCTTAGTCTTACCCTCGCCGATCTTCGACTTCGACGGTGTAGTTTTGCTTTCCGTTATCAAGGGTACTCCGAAGTCTGAAAGAATAACGTCGTAAATCCTGCGTTTATGTATTGTCTACACGGAGAAAAATAATTTTGCGGCGGAACCATCATTGCTACTGCGTTGCGACAGCAAGTTGGCGAAAGCAAATTAACGAATTACTCGTAATTAGAGCGGAAACAGTTTTGTTGCCGGAATGAAAAAAGGATGGTGGATAAAATACCACTCCGGGAACTAAAATCGGTCCGCTTCGTCTTTTGCTGAGTGAATTAGGACGAAGTTAACGTGGAGTTCGAACAAAACAATGTTTTTTCCCCTACATTTACTAATTTGTTCTCATATCAAAGTAATTCGCAGATTCAGCAAAATAACCCATCGAATGGCACAAACGAATCGTTTGCCCGCCCACACAGTAACTGACAGATTTTCCTGCGACGGCAAATTATTTTCCCCCATGCACCATATTGATCCGTGGCGAAGTAAACGCAAAGCCTACTCAAGGTAGACAAAGTTCGCATCGCAGTTTGGCCGATACGAATTTCGCGGGAGCACATTTTGCGGCGAACTTAATCAGCGAGGAAAAGGACGCGCGTTACCCACCTTTCGCGAGGCCCTGAAGCGACGTAAGCTCCGAGCGAAGTCGGAGGAAGAACTGGTGGTGCAGGGAGGTGAGTTTGAAAGCGAAGTAACTTCTGGAAAATAGAAAGATACTTTACGTAGGTCGTTACTGCCAGGGAGGGAGAGCAAACAATACACACTCGCGATACTATTTCCCCGCTCTCCCTGGCTTGACGTTCGACCGCTTCGAACGAAACTTACTTCCGATGATCCATCCGTAGCTTGAACTTGCACCGTTTCCCGTTCAGTTTGCTGTACACCACCAGGCAGCTCTTGCTGTAACTCAACGTCTGCACATCTCGCCACTGAAAGTGGGCCAGTTCCGTTCTCTCCCTCGGCTCGCCCCCCCGTTCCAACAGCTTCAACCCTTGCGCGTGTATCGCCAGCCACACGTTGCTCTCCGTCTTCTTCTTCCCGCTCTTGTTGTTCTTATTGTTGTTGCTGTTCACGCTGTTGTTGTTATGATTGGGATTGTTGTTGCGCGTCTCGTCGCGACGCGATTTGCCCTTCTGCCCGGCGTAGATCTCATCCGAGTACGGGATCATCGGCGCGTTCTCGCGGGAGCCCAATCGCGGGATCCTGGCTTCTCCCCGCGGGACGGACGTCTTCTCCGACGACGGCGCGTCGCCGCGTTTATCCATGTTGCTCTTGACTTTCTTCTGCTGCGCCATCAGTTTCTCCAGCTCCTTGGAGTCCACCGTGGCGATATAATAGTGCGAGCCGTAATCCGGCAAGGACTGCGCATGAGTTACGAACATCTCCTCGGCTTTGTTGGAGTCCAGGCCGCGTCGGTCGTGATGAGCGCCATGCAGCTGCGCCCGTAAAAGGTCCGCCTCGATGCACGGCTGCGAGTGATGACGGTCCGCGTTCATTATCAATGATTCCGGCACGTAGTGCTCGAGCAGGAAGTAATCTCCGCAACCGTGCTCCTGAAAACGCGTGGTACAATGTCGATGACGCCGAGGAATTATCGTCACCCTGCCCTTCGTTCGCGGCTTCCCGATATCGTCTACTTAAACTCCCAGGGGCTGGCGCGTTTCAACTACTAATAGTTTAGCTTAGTAGTTTAACGGCTGATTTATAGTTTGCAAATTATACCCCGCCCCTCTGCGTGAAATGGAAAGTCGATTCTACGGAGCGTCTCACGGATAAGAAGCGACGATGCTGCATTACTAATACACTCGCTTTCAGTCCAATCTCTTTCCACTCCAATTTCGAATCAATTCGCAGATTAATTTGCGAGAATTTCGGAGACCTCTTCGTTGTCACGTGAAAGTTAGTCGCATTCCGCGAAGACGTGGAGGATCCTAGATATTTCCATCTCGATACCATAGTTTCTCTCATTTTGCTTAAAGAGATTGTAGGGTGAAGTGAGTTTGATGAGAATTCGAGGAAACTTGCATTACGCATACTTAGAAATATTATCTAACTCACGTTTATAACATTCATAAATTTAGAAGAAGATTGACCATTGGGGAGATGAGATATTTGCAAAAGTTTATATTGTTTACGTGAATTTTTTCAGATTGGCGTGCGATTTTTAATTTCTATTCTTAATAAATATTAATAATATTTATTAATATTTATTAAGAATTAAAATTAAATATTAAATTTATGAGCAGCCCCTTTGACGCACCACCAAAAATACAATACTCACAAATTTTCTTTAATTCGAGTGTTGAAATTTTTGGCGGCCCTCTTCGAAAATTGTCTCGCGTCGCGATGACGACTTCGAGAAATCGTACGGAACTATCGCCAACTTACGTTAACATTGTAATTCCCAAATTCGGCTTGAAGAGCGAGGCCCGTCAGATTGATCAGTTCGGGATAGGGGCATACCAGCTGCTGCTCCAGTATGCACCGCCTTATTTGTAAGTACAATAGATGCTTCGATATCCAGCTCCTGAAAGCGATACGGGTAGTTAGCTGTAATCGAGCGTGACATGTTACCGCTGTTCTTGTCGACGGGTTCGAGAACGAACCTGATGCCGCGCAAGGAGGGCAGGAAGAATCGAAGCCGCAGGTACAGCATGAAACTGGTCGGTAAACCCAGAAGCCCTTTGCTCTTGCCGCTGCTCAACCATCCCGGTGGTGCGACCTTATTCAATTTCGTGTCTGGAGGTAACATTGCGAAATCCCCGGCCAGCAGCACGGCTAGACCCAGAGTAAAGTTCTCGTCGAGACTCTCCGCCTGGACGATAGCCTGAAAGCGATTTGCGGATAACGCGTAAAGTAATATACGGGTTCGTCTAAAATTATAAACGGTTAAACTCATGTGCGCCGAGTACGTTGAGCCGGTACGCAACTCGTGTTAATGCTGCGGAACAATGAAACGGATTAGTGCGACATATGAAACACAGACATCACGTGGTTATTAGTCCGATGCCGTAAAGATGGTACTTGCCGACACGATGTAATAATTTTCAGCACGAGACGGTTACTTGTAAGATGCAAGAAAGGAGCACATTTGATGACTCATCCGTGAACTTGCACGGTAAAAAATTTTGTGTAAATAACGGTTCGCTGAAATTTTCGTATTATTTTAAGGGAATTCTGGAGTCTCCTTGTTTTACTGGAAATTTGTCAGTACTACATTCGTTACCGGTTGCACGGAATTAAATATCCTTTTGTACAATTACAATACGTTAATATAGGCGAGGACGGTATTGACTTTATTCGAGAAACCAAAAAGAATTACATAATTTATTAACATTTTTTGAACAAAATCAATCGTCCCTCCCTTAACGAGTGTAGTAATAAAGAATTTACGATAAAACAAGACGACTCGAGGATCTCCTTAACATAGGGATATGTTAAAAAGTATACAAATAAATTAACATATTCACCTTGTTAACATATTACTTTTTTAACATATTCGCCATGCTAAAGTAACAGAAAAATTTCAGTGAACCGTCATTTACACGAAATTTGTTACTGTGTACATTTCTGCGCAGAATTATTACGCGAGACAAGCAATTAGACGCAAAGGCAGAAAGAGGGAGACAGAGCGCGGCTGCATTTGATTGCTCTAAAAGTTTATCGTAGCGCGACGCGATATCTATTTCAGCGACGCAGTGGTAATTTTCTATCGGCGCGAATTTATGAGAATAACCCAATTCGGAAGTTCTTCCCGCGGGCAGATTCTCGAGGCTCGTGCGGCCTATAAATCGCGGACTATCTATTAAAAACTACGCGGCAGTCACGTTCGAAAGCTTGAATTAAGTGGCGTATATAGCCGCGAGACGGGAACGTCTTGTTAAACTACCGAATCTAAGCGGTATTAAATTCACTCGCTCCGCTTCTACCTTATGCTTAACTATGCATCTTTGCTAACGGAAGCTTCTACATCCTGCGTGCTCCTGCTTTACTTTTAAGGGTCTAGTTCGTTAGTGTTTTAATAAAGTCGACTAAACGACTTTACACCACTCTTGGTTATCACAACAGAATCGTTTAATACAACATTCGTTCAAGTTAATAATCGTTTAAGTTAATCGGTCGAACTTACTTTTATTGATTTTTATTCACTGGTGTTATTACGAGGTAGACATTCTCTGCAATGTTGATGCTAGGATCTGCTATTTCACAACGAATGGATACTTTTTATAAGACGGAAAGGCACACACTGTTGTCATCGAGATCACATAACTCGCGGTTAGCGAATTGGATTTGTCGTATATAATGATTAGGATTGGCGGCTCGCCAGAATTTCTCGCGAGTTCACGGCGGAATTTGTGGTCTCGTAAACAACCGGCCGCGTCTTAGCTCTCGCGGTCCAACTGTGGATTCAAGAGGCCGCTGCTCGGAGCATTACGATCGAATCAATTCCGCTCGAGAACTTGCAGATAAAATATTTCTTTTTTTTTTCAAGGATTTTGCCGGCGTTCAAGTAGCATTCGCGTATACGGCGCGGATAAAAGCAAACGATTCCTTCGCGAACGTCTCCAGACACCGTATATTTCACCTCCAGATGATACGATTTATTAACGTCCTGCAGAGAGCAATTTCTCTTTCGCAGAAAAGAATCTTACGGACGTGGGCGAGTCCTACGTAACAGCACGCAATAAGATGCATTCGAAGAATCTTGCGGGGAAATAATACATTTTCTGCGACTGTTTCCAATTATTTCGACTAATTTCGCCATTTTATTCAAGCTTATTACATTGAGACGGTAGTATTTATTGTTTCTTTAATATCTTCGGATTTTATCAGCGACTTCATCAAGCGATTTAATAACGTCGCGACGACAAGTATATACGTATAAAATAAAATTACAAATTTAATATATTTACAATATCGTGATGAAGCATCGAGACGATTAATAACTTATCTAGAGTTTTCACGTCAATTAAAACTTTGAATAAGATATCTCGAAAAGCTGTCATTAAATATATAATGGCATTTTTCTTAAAAATATTCACATATTAATCTTAATATATCAGAATTGTCAAGCAATTGGAGAAAGAAATAATTAATTAATTACTATTTTAATATATTTCAACCGATTTCACTTTTGTTTTTTGATGAATATTTTTTAAATATTTTGGTGTTTTCTTTATGTTGTTAACTGTCTTAGATTAAATAAATGTGTTTAATTTGTTTGTTTTATAATAACATCGCTATACTACTTTCATTGCTACTTTTTGAGATTTTTATGTACTTGGCATATTTGGTTCGTCATTTTAAATTCACGTCGCAGTATTAAATTAGAACGTGTTACGTATTGTATTGAATTGGCCAACGCGCAAAGGTAATGACTATCGGTTGCGTTACTATCATATCAGGCGGGTGTGTGCCATTTACGTGCACGTCGAATTACTGTTAATGAAACGATAATCGTGTTATATGCGAAATAATGACGAATGTGTTATACGTTGAATTAATGAAATTCTTCGTAGCATCTACTTCATTGACATTTCCATTAACATTTGTTGTAATACAATTATTTTCTACTATTTTGAAGATCGCCATTGATTATACGCTAGGAGGTCCTTTTTTGACCGGGTGACTTTTTATTCAATTTAATTCATTCGGATATAATTAGCCGGTAAATTGAACCCCTTATCGGTGACGACCACTCTCCATAGCGCATCCGCGATAGTTCGCAGTTTTAATTGAGTTTCAATCAATTTTCTTAGGGACGCGATACGTGACACGGTTAAACTTTTGAAGAATGTCTCCTCTACCCGGCTAATTTTTCTATCAATAATCTTCGTTGAAATCTTAATAAATGAATTTTAATGTATACGTATTAGCAAGCGGCATACACTTAATACACATAAAATATATATCGTCGATGTTTAATGTTTATCATCGATAAAGAACGTTGTGAAAATGTGAGAAGAACGTTTGGAAAGCATTTTATATTCGTTGCGAGGAATGTTTACCTGGAATAAATCTCCAGCGGTGACCTTTTGAGGATCGCAGGTTACCTCCACTCGTTGTCCTGTCAGCATTATTACGACTATTCGGCCAGAGTTGCCCGCCTACGCAGTTGAACGAATTATTAATGTACCGTTATCGCAATATCTCGTGTGTAAATTTTATATTAATACAGAATTATTCACTCGGTTTCATTATCATGCGTCGCTTATTACCCTAACATTCGTGCTTAACATACACACAGGTGCGTGCAATTTATAAATTATAGATATATTTTATACGATATATGTCTCAAAATCTTATTTCTTAGATATGCAAATTTGCTATAATTAATTTAGTTTAATGCATTTAATGTAGTATATATAATTTCTATTATAAGAAAAAATATTGATTGCATTAATCTTTACGGATAAGACAAATTAAGTGCAATGTATTTTTTTTGTAATAGATAATCTTGCATACTAATTAATACGTAGATTCGTATATGATAACAGTAACTATGATGTAAAAATTCAGAATATTGAACATTTTTTGTTTATTTAACCGTGATTTACTTGAGCATACCCTGAAGAACGTTCTTAACAGTCTGCCGTACCGTGATCCGGTATGGTCTAGTGGCTAGGATACCTGGCTTTCACCCAGGAGGCTCGGGTTCGATTCCCGGTACCGGAAGTTTTTTTTGCTTATACTTAATAAAATTGAAAATTTTTAATTAAAATATTGCTATACAAATTGTAAAACTCTCGGAAAAGAATCAATTTTTTATTAGTATATAAACTTTATCTTATTTATAGAATAAAGATACGATAACATGCATGTGTATGTGTTTGCATGATGACCATTTGTATGATAACATGTATGTGTTTGTATGATAACCATTTAAAATATGTATGTTTTGTTAAGTATTTTAACAATTTTTTGCATATTTGATTATATTTTTTTTAATTTTAAGATTAAACGGTGTTCTAGCTACGTATGCAGGATCATATGGTATCTTTAGCACAACCATAATCGATCCGGTATGGTCTAGTGGCTAGGATACCTGGCTTTCACCCAGGAGGCTCGGGTTCGATTCCCGGTACCGGAATTATTTTTGTTTTGAAAACTTTTTTAGTGCACATTTAAAATATACGTTGTTCATTTGAAAATAATCAATCAATAATTTTTAATAATTAAAAAAATTTTTGTGAAGTAACGTCGAATCAAATATCAAGTATTTATCGCTGACAATTGTGGATCATTTGTTTATATTTTATTATTAAAATTTATCATATTTTATTATATTAATTAATTTTTGATTCTTCAGAAATTTAATTATCGCTTGTAATAACTATTTAGTGACTATCGCTTGTTTTGACTATTAGTATTATTAAAGAAATATTAATTTTAATAATATATTTTACAGCACTGTTTCTCTTCATTTTTTCCCCTTTTTAAAAATATATATTCGAGCAAAATTTCAATTTTACACTAAGTCTATTTAGTTCTATATTAATTATCTCCTATTGTGTTTCTTTGATGTTACAAATAAGAAGTTATTTCCGTTTTTTCCACTTGAAGACAACATAAAACTAAATAGCCTTATTATAAAATTAAAGTTTTGATCAAGTATTATCTTCCGTTTATGTTTTTACTATCCACACGGTCGTACATTCATCCGGTATGGTCTAGTGGCTAGGATACCTGGCTCTCACCCAGGAGGCTCGGGTTCGATTCCCGGTACCGGAATGTTATTTTGCACTTGGGTCTAGCAATTTTCGCGAATATTTTTTTCTGTGTATCTTCTTTGAATTATATATATAAATTTTTATAGTACTTATTTTTATTTAGGTTAATATGTGTTATTATGTGTTACTTTTCAACGTATTTACATTGTGTTATAAATTTACACAAAAATTTGAGTGAATCTTTTCGAATATGTAAAATGTATTAAATTTAATATAAAATTGTTTACTATATATTAGAACACATATATATTAGAACACGCTTGATCGAGAGAAGGTACACAGGAGGTGCGTGAGGTAAAGTATTCGCGTGTCGTGATCTCAAATGTGATGTGACGCAAAAATTCAAAGTCTTTCCAATTTATTTATGATAGGAAGATAGAAATCATGGAGGAAACTCATATTGCTGTGTAAATTCAAACCATGCGTTGGCATTTGCTGGTTTTTATTTATTAATATATTGGTTATCTCCTTTAAGTTATTTACGTCTATGTATTTGTGTATGCAGATTAATATAATAATTATTTGTATATTCATGTACAGTCATAGTCTTCCTTGAATCTAACTTTAAAGCGAGTGGCCATATCGATCCGGTATGGTCTAGTGGCTAGGATACCTGGCTCTCACCCAGGAGGCTCGGGTTCGATTCCCGGTACCGGAAAGTTTACTTTTTTACATGTTTTTGGTATTTTCTAAAACAACATTATTTATGAAATTATTTGGTTTATTACACGTATGTATTTTTTCTCCAAAAAGTATTTATTCTGTTATATTTGTCAGTTTTATAGTATATCTGTTTCTTTTAGAAACAATGAGTAGGAAAAAACGGGTAGCAGTTCAGCATAAATTTCATATATTGTTATTAAAATGTTTCTCGCGTTATTTTCTTGGTGTAGATTTGATAGTTTTGAACATATGATAAACAAATTAAGAACGGAGGGCAAAGAGATCCGAAACAGACAAACGTCGAAAAATATATATTGAATAACGTGTTGAAACCAACATTTCCAATTAACTACGTTCCGTTTTATCGCATATTTACATTTACTTTCTTACCTTAACTTGACCCACACACAATGTTTTCGGAGGCTGATTAGCGCGAACCACAAATTCTGGGCCCACGCATTGCGCCTTATTGAAACATCTCATGGGCCCACCCACTGTTCGGTAAAGCCGCGACGGTGCCCTTTGCACAGCCTTCCCTCGTCGAGCTCTCGGTCCGTTTCGCATTATGATCCTGCAAATATTTGTACGGTCTTTTTAATTATCGCCAGATAAATGGCTGCTGAATCGTGTAAATAAATTGTTCCAAAAGAAAGCGCGAGAATCTGTCGTAAAGTGGGTGGAAGTATAATGACAATATAAACCTTTGAGCAGAACGGATTCGCGATTCTTTGCGTTTTTTTTTCGCGTTTGCGGTCGCTTGATTAATATGGATCGTGCCGGGCGGAACTTTTCATTTGGCATAATAGACCACGATGCGCCCAATTATGCAGCGAACCGGAAAGCTTATGGCAAAATTTCGTAGACACCACGTTCGTTATGCAGCGACGTTAACGAACTCTCGCACTGAGTTTAATTAAACTCTAACTAGGCTAGACCTGCTCTTTTAGGGCTGTCATCACAAAGTGCCTTCTTGTTTCGTCTCTCTTTTTATCCGCTCTCTCCTCTTCTCACCGTCTTCAGTTGCTCTTGTCTGGACTCGACGCGAAAAGAATAGTTCGAAATTAAAGGTCGCGAATTCTCTCTCTGGGGCAAATCAATTTTTGCAACGCATTATGAGTAACGCCTACGGGAAAGAGAGAGAGAGAGAGAGAGAGAGAAATTTATAGGTGTAGTGAGGAAAATGTCTGTGGGAGTGCACACTTGTTCGGATTTTCAACAGGAGCGGCAAATTGGATTAAAACGTATCGCATTAATTAAAATGTTACAAAATAATACGCTTAAGTTAGTTAATATCGTTACTGTATTAAATATATTCTATAATACGTTATTCGAAATTAGTTAAATACTTTGAGTAAAATAATTTTGAATAGAGATGGGTTTTTTGTAAAAAAAAAATCGAACCATCGAAAAATTGGAAAATTTTCGAGCAGCATTTTTACCACTCTCGCTATGGCAAGTAACATATACCGTATTCGTTATTCGAGATCAGTTAAATATTTGTAAAGTAACTCTGGTTTTAACAGGAATAGATTTTTTCCCCAAAAAATCCAAAGGTCGAAGAATTGCAAAAATTTCGAGCACGACCCTGAATGCTCACCGCGATGAGTAACGCGTCCCGTTGATCCCGTCGATATTCCCGAACTGAATGTCGACGTTGAGTTTCGTCACGATTGAACGGATTTTATGCGGGACTTTCCCGCATTGTCAGGATCATGCGGACGTAATTTTTAATTTAATCATACTGATTTAATTCCCGGGCGCAGCACATTGTGCATTAATTTGCCGCTTAACTGCATACGCGCGCGTTTGTGTTCTATTCCCGCTCGGCTAAATGTCATCGTAATATAGGTCTCTCTCTCTCTCTGTAGCTCTCGCGAAGGTCAAAGGTTCGCCGGAGAGCGCCACGTTTCGACCTTTCCAGCGGCAGCCGACTGGCATGCATTAGACTGCAACTGGCTGCATCACCCAGCTGGTTACTCGCTAGGCGAGTATCCTTCGAAACCACGTTACGGTTGTGCCAGAGGAGGGTCTCGCGGCTCTTTGCGAGAGCGTGGATCGCTTGAGAGCGTTCATTAACACGGACGTATGACTGGGAGGCAAAACTTAATAATGCGGGTCGCGCGCGAGCTCGAAGATCCTGGAACTGTTTAATGCCTCCTGCGTCCTAATTTAATACCCGCCCCCGTCGCGAGATTGATGAAATTCCGGGCAGGAAAGTGCGAAATTCGAGGGTGCAAATATAAATTTCCAGATCCTTCGTTGCTTGGCTTGACATTGCGTTACACAAAGTTGCGCATCGCATTCTGGTGTATCGGCGCCGCTCGGCGCAATCGAGACATTCTCCTGTGAAAAATCAACTCCCTTCCCCTCTCCCCATTTTTTCTCTCTTGGAAGAGAAACTGCACTCCAATGTAGCTAAAAAGAAGATCAATTAAAAATGCAAGTTGTGCCGGAAAATTTTGTTTTCTTCGCACGCTTCCGAAGAAATTGGTTATTGATTAAAATTTCATTCGGATAGCTCGGACGGCGAGTTCGCGGCTGCTCGGAATAAATTGCATCGGAAACACGTGCGCTCTCTCCTCGTAATAAGTAATGGCGTAATTCGTTACTCAGGGCATCCGGCTAACGTACGCTCCACTTTTTCTCTCTTTCATCTTGATCGCGATACGCAAAGCCGACTTAATGAGCCGCGGTGAATCGACGCGGATAATTGGACACGCAAATACGTGAGTGTGAGGAGAAAAGACGAGTCAACCTACCTGGGAGGTTTCGCCGGCGGTTCTGTTTGGTTGTTACACTCCGAGTCGGAGAGAGCGGATTTTCTCAGGGTGGTGATAATTCGGGGTGGCTTCGGGGGTCCCTGGATTCCCCGGAGCCTCATGGAAGACACTGGATTTTGTTGCTGTGCCGTCTGTTCTTCTTTACGCGCGACGACGTCGGCGCATCGAGGCTCGGCCGTCGCGACACTCGGCTGCGACAACCGCTTGAAGTCCTCGTCAGCTTGCGTTCTGCTCGGCAACTGGGGATTCGAGTGTTGCCTCTGCAGACACATCCTTCCTGAAGGCGCTCGTCCGTAAATGTCCTCGCGAAGGCGCTCTTTCGCTTGTGACGCCACATCGGGCTGAGAGCAGCCGGTATTCGAAGAATGTCTATTTCGGAGATGTTTTTAATGTTTTCGTGTACGAAAAGCATGTCGTATAAAGTAGAATCGATTAAAAGAAAATAATTCACATTTGATTCTCATTTTTTAACAAGATCATATAAGATTAGAAACGAAAAATCTTAAGATAATCTCTTAAATCGAGTAATATTTTTATCAATTTAAATACATTTTAATAGCCCGTAGTAAATATTTACTTAAATGCAGTATTATCTTAATTCGTAAGTGAATTACTGAATATAAATATAAAATAATTCTGAATTTAAGAGAGTTTACTAAAATTATGTATAATGTAATGATTCTTTTCCATAGTAGAAACCTAGCAGTTAAAAATTTCGCTTTTCCGTCCGGTAAATATTTTTTGAAAAAAAGTAAATAAAATAAAAAATAAGCAATCCTTTTAACACGTACAAGTAAATGTCTACTTATACAATAATATGTATATAATGTATGTATAATTGTATATAATTAATTATATTTCCTCCTTGTATATAATTAATTATATTTCTACTGCTAAAGTAAATATTTGCCAAGGCGTATTGGAGTAACCATTTTACTTGGATCAAGTAAATGTCACTTTTTTTCAATGTACTTGTGCCTGTTTCTACCATGATGGTTTAAATCTAATCAACGATTAATTCAACAATATTGACCAATCGCATTAGTCAATTAGCTGACTGATCGATGCGATTAGTCAGTCTTATCGAGTTAATCGTCAATTAGATTTCAGCTACCAAATAGAAACTGACATTATTCCAATAAAGTACGGACGTTTATCGCTGAATTCGAGGAATCGAGAGAGAAATAGACTATTACCTTCATTTGTCACGAGAAATTTTCCCGAGTGAAAGCAACGAAAATGTTCTCAACGCGAAACTATTTACCGTGCGTCGAAAACGTGCATAACGAGCAGAAAGTTGCGGTGATCAAATTACGACGGGGTTGTGTCACGCGAGTGAAATCGGTTCCGATTTCTTTCCCGAAACAAGAATATACAGTCGGAATATATACGTAAAGGCACCTGCTTATCGACGATGATCCGCCGTAAACATCGTCGCCGCGACGGATCGCCGCGGAGGGCTTCGCCGACAGTCCATTGACTCTCACATCCTGGGAGCTCAGGAAGGGCTTAACCGGCAGGGCGTATATCGGGTCGTTGTAAACATCCCCGCCGGGATTACCGGCGTCGGCCGCGTTCGTCGTCGCCGGTAGATTGCCGCTGCTCCTGGTGTGCTGGAGCCGCGTGTAGACCGGCTGCGAGTACGTCCTCGAATGATGGTGTCTGCGTTGATGGTGGCTCGTCGACGGTCCTATCGATCGGCTGCCGTTCTGGATGTCCAATTGGGACTGAAACTGCACCCGGCACGCGCTCAGCGTCGCCTCCTGCTGATGTTGCTGTGCTTGCTGCTGCACAGGCCCGCACAGGCTCGTCAAGTTGGGATGCGACTGAGAGTTCCGTGACTGCGTGCGGAAATGCGTTTCCTTCGCGTGATGATGATGATGATGATGACGATGGCTCTTCGGCGGCGGTGGCGGTGGTTGTTGTTGCGTGTGTTCTTGCTGCTGTTGGAGCGCTCGGAATTGATTGCTCGGGTATTGAGCGGGCTCTTGTTGGTGCTGATTGCGCGATTGGACAGTCGACGAATGCTGCACGACGCGATGATGCTGGAAAGACGACGGTTGACTATTCGCGGCTTGAACGTGCTCCTGTTGTCGCCGTTGCGGTTGATGATGATGATGACGATGATGATGCTGATGGCCGTAGACTTTTTGCTGACTGGCCTGATCGATGATGGTCCGTGCGGGGTACAGAGTGTTCAGCTGGAAGTAGACCCGTGTCCGCGCGGCATATTGCGGCGATTCCAGAACCTCCTGATACATGTCCATCACTATATGCGTGAAGGGCTTCGTTTGTAGACGTGTCCGGCAATATTCGGATATTACCTGGAAAATGGTGCAACGCCGTGTCGTTGTTATATTAACATCTGCGGAAATATTAATATCTCAATAAAAGCAATTGAATAGTAATGGAAGAAATATTTTAGCGATAATATATATATAGGAAAAGAGGAAAAGAGCATTAAAACTGACATACTATTTTGTTTCTTAGCTCTAAAGCCTTGTTGAAGATGTAAAATTAGAACTGATGTGTATGGATGCGAAACTCTTCTCTATCGAAATATATGATAGTCCTATAAAAATTATTACATATTTCCTTGCAAATAGCTATTTTTTTAAATGTATGGTGATATTGTGATAAACACAGTATATTAATTTAACACACGGGTAAGTGTTAAATTAATACGATGTTAAAAATTTGACACAAGATTTAACAAGGACCGGTTTTAATGTAAGTTTTTCTTTACTGGGTACAGGAAATTATTATAAAAAAATAAAATAAAAAAACACTGAAATTACATTATTTTGTACATTTATTATATATTTCTATATATCACCTTTAATTTTGTATATTTCTTAAAATTTTTAAATTTTACGATGTTACATTCCTGCTCGTCATTATTGGTAGAAGGAAATCTGTCAATGTAATTTTGTAATCGCTTCCTCTAGAGATACAAGAAGGCGGATCGCCGCCTTGCACGATTAACGTGATGTACTTAAATCAGATAAACGTCCGTGCAGATTTGAAAGTTCGTATTAATAGCGCGGTCGCGGACATAATATGATCGCGTCGATGCGTTTATCGCACTACCCCGGTATGCGCCGATTATCTGGTTTTGAAACTTCCGCCTCGCAGCAGACGAACTATTAGCTCAAGGGAACAATGGCTAAGTCGGAATTCTATAGATCCAATAAACTGTGATCCGCGAGGTGAAGCGTTACCTATCAACGTCTCATTGTGTCCTCAGCCTTGATAGACGCGAAACTTTGCACCGATCACAGTTTTTAGAAAAGAACGATAAGAATGGAATTTGGAAGAAAGAAGAAATAATCTTTTAACGCAAAAGTGCCGGGACAGCTCGCAAATGAAACTGAAAAACAGCTCTTCTCTCCCCTCCTCTCTCTCTCTTTCTTCTGCCACTCTTTCTCTCACTTTCTTATGACAGAAATTTGCTGGCTCGTCGAGGAAACAGACAGGCGCGACGTTAATTCGCCATTCCATTACTCTGAGAAATCCAGAAATAAGCGATGCGCGCGGCCGGCCGCGAGTGATAGACTATTATTCTTAACAAACACGGCAGATGGTGCCCCCGGTGGCTATCAGTTCGTGCCACGGCTGCATCCGCCGAAGTGCGGTGGTCCCCCCCGTCTTAACCCCGACGTGTTCAAGGCTGCCTTTATCTGCGCGAATAGATACCGCCAGGCAAAGTAGGTGGCTCGAGCGGATAATTTATTGTCCGTCGAGGAATCCTCGTAGAAATTGCGGTTCCGCATTTACGCTGCATGCCGCGTGCTTCTTCTCCATCTCCTGCCGACCGATTTCATCAATTTTCGAGGTTATCGGGCTTACAGAATTATCGTGGCCGAGATGGACGACTTATTATGGCGACCGCCTCGATCTTCGCGGCGGTGATAACGGCCGTCGCGTTTTTCAGATTGCCGGCCGTTAATCATCGGGCTCGGCGAAATTATCATGGCCGAGTTACACTTGTAAATGCAATTCCGCGTCTGGTAGCGCATTCGAGTCGTGGATCGCCTTTCGAGTCGCATTAAAACCCTCGCGCGAGATCCCCGAAATTCAACGGAGAGAGTCTCGTAATATCGCGGCCCGGTCGCTTAATGATATCCGGCGGCTGCATCAAGTAATCTCTTCCGGTATTCGGATTTGCGGCTTTGTTCGCGCGGATTTATCGGTGGCTCTGCGCTGCTCTCGCGTCGCCATTCTATTTTTCTATCTTTTCTCTTGATTCGTGTAATTAATATTATCGATTGAACTTGTTAAGAGTCGAATGTATGTGGCCGTTGCTCACATATACAATATTCTCTCATTTCTCCTCAATAAGTCAGGTAACGAATATAATCGTAGCGCTCACAGTCGACGTCATATGTATGATATATCATTCCCTAGTTCGAAATTTATGCGATTTTCAACCTTACACATATATACATAAGGTCAAGTAAAGTTATAATTAAGGCCATTGTAACTCTGTCATTATAATATATTATAATTAGAGTTACTTGTGCGATTTGTAACTATAGATTATATATAAAACTGAAAATAAAGCGTAAATTTCCGGCTGTACACTATGTTTCAAAACGTTATAATATTCATTGTTGTCCCTTCTATTTTGAATAAATATATAAATTTGTAACAAAGTATTTGTATTTTTTTCAACATATTATTTTAAATTTATTTTAATGAAAAGTTATATTATTTTATAAACAACGCCCTGAATAATAAATATTTTATAATTTCAATCCTAGAATCGATTTAACAAACACTTTGACGAAATAATCGTGAAGTTTTGTTTATTATTATTATTAAAGCTTTATTTATCCAGCGTAAAAATATTGCGCAAAATGCAATCGAGGACCATTATACCACCTTCTCCTCCATTAATTTTTTTCTCTGTGTGCACTCCATACGAGACACGATCGTGACGCTATTGTTACTCAAGACGTTTCCTAGATTTTCACGCGTTCATAGACTTTCGACTAAATCTGCTTCGACATGTGAAAAAAGTTGAACGTTATAACGATTTTTTGCTCGTAGACCGCCGATGTTGAACTTGTGCTCTTCCTCATGTCTTCCTGTGCGTTCTACGCGTTCCAAGGTTAACGTAGCTGTCGGAATGTCGAATGAAAAAAATTTCGGAAGCATTTCGTCGTTCACTCTCACCGGTGCGATAATGTCTGACACCCGGCGCGTCCAGCGACGTTGCAGCGTACGACCGCATAACGCGTACATTTTCTCGCTGCCGGCTCGTCCTAATATTTACAAGTGCGGCGAAGCCGTATCATACGCGCGTTTCCCGTACTATTTGCCAAACGATTAAAATCACTTAATTGCGCAGTTGGCGTCGCGATTTAATCACTCGCGATTAAATCTCATCTTACCATTTGCGTTCTCTATAAATAAATTTCCGCGATATCGCGACAAAAGGGAGGAGAAAAATAGCTCGCCTGCGTTAAATATTAATGCGCGTAACGTTCGATGTGATTACGAGATTTGCGAATTGTCGTTCTGGCATTGCGCTTGGAAAATACGCCGCGATTTAATCGCCACGTATCGTAAATAGAACGCGAGAATTTCGATTAATATCGACTCGATTTTATTTATAATGCGGAAAGATCACACGGGTGTGACTAATTGATAGAAACCAATTAATCGTGACGAAACATCAATCGCATTTGATAGTTTGTGCGAGGCTTATTTATTCAGATCACGTGTATGCAAAGAGCATGCAGAATTATACGCGTTTGAGTTATCGCCGGGTTAATATTGTAAAGATAATGATGGCGCGTAACCGTGGAGCGTGCGAGTGCGCTTTTACAATCGAACGCTTTTGTCGCAACCATGCGGGACATTTCCCATCGTCTGTATTATTTTCGTTATCTCTTTCACGTGGTATCGTAACTCGAATGTGTTACACCGCACAACTCGCCGAGTTATATTCGTGCGATTATACGCGGTGTTCGCGGTCGTCGATTCAATTCCATTTTTATCGTATTGCGGCGTTATATATATATGCGTACTAGTAAATATAAAAAGGGAAGAGATAATGGAGGCTTCGCGCGTGCAGCGTTCGCGCTGCTAAACATTTTTCCTCGCTGAGATCTTGGGCGTGCTGAAAGTTGCGGGGGGATGGAACGGAAAGCGATTTCATTAGATTCGCTCGCGCGGACTTTTTCATCGTCGGCGCTAAATATCCCGACGAGATATTCGATTAGTGTTTTCATTAGGAAACGGACTTTCGAATGGACCGTGTTAAAAAAAAACTTCCAAGCGTCGGAACAACCGGCCTGTCGTAATTCGATCGCGCCTTTATCCTAACTATCAATCTCGTCGCAAAATTATAGCCGGGAACGTCTTTCCCTTACGCACATGTATTCTATCGCGGATCAATCCATGTGGATAACTGAATTTCGCGTCGATCAAACTCGAAATCGTGTCCGATTCAATTGTTCTTATGGGGAGCCACTTAAGCGCGCGTGCATTCGTCGTTGCGCCGCGACGTTGACATCTGTATTCCCTGTCAGGCGAATCAACGTGGTGCTCCGATGTTACGTGGGACGTCGCAGGCATCTCGAGTGTCGTCTCATCGCTCGCTCGCTCTCTTCGTAACAGGCGATTCGATTAAAGCGCGCTACCCCGCAAGAGTCCGACAGCCGAGAGCTGCCGTGATTGAGTCTACATCGATTCCACACGGATATCACCGAAATCTCAGATGCGAGCCGCGCGGTTGGCCACTGCTCGAGTCGGGTTACGCCAATGAGCGGAGGGACGACTTGTCCATCATTTCATTCTATCTTGAGCTCCGTTGAGCGAATAATTTAGCGAAAAAGCTCAAAAGAGAAATACAGTCGCGAGATTCGATGGAAACCGCGCAGCCGTTGGTGGCTCGAATGAAGTTACGCTGGAAAAAGAAGACTCGTCGGAGATTGATCGCTCAATTTTACTCCTTAACCGAACCGCCCTCCTGGTCGAATGATTTGCTAAAGAAGAGTTAGAGAAAAGTACGGCCGTAACCCCGTCTATTCGGGGGTAGCGATGGGCGATTATTAGAAAAAATCAATTTTTGAATTTTTCAATTGATCTTGAATCAGAATAACTAGAATCGACTTGCTAAAAGACTTGCTAAAAAAAGTCGAACTATATAACGCGCGACGCGACTCGAAATTTCAACGGCAGGACTCAGTGTCGCGTAATTATTACGCGACAAATTGCTTTATTACTCCCGCCGCGAAGACGACTCGACCTTTCCCTCTATCANAACGGCAGGACTCAGTGTCGCGTAATTATTACGCGACAAATTGCTTTATTTCTCCCGCCGCGAAGACGACTCGACCTTTCCCTCTATCACCCCCGGCTGCGCGCCATTCGAGTCCGACGCAGCTGCTTGAACCGTTGCACGTTCGCGACGTTGAATTACTCGCCATTCGTAATCGTGATGTGGAAATTAATTTGGCTATGCGCTACTTGGAATTAGATATTGTTATTAACCGGGGAAGATTGCAGTCGCAGAGCGCGCGATACGTGTCGAGTAACGTTTCTCGGATCCGTGATACGTTCATTCACTGACCGGCTTCTTTGGTGCGCCGGTCACTCGTGAAAGCGTTTAATTTAATACAGCTGGTAATATAATGCTGGGATTTCATGCTGAGTTACGTTTAATACGTCTCGTATTTAATGGATGCTCCGCGAAATTCGTGAAATCATTCCAACTAGATATGAAACATTTATGATTTAGTAAGTATGCCAGTCAGTTTTGTTTCTAAGCGAAGTTCCGCGATATATCGAAGAAATCGATTATATTGATGAGTTGACGTTATTAATATCTAATAATGGCATTCAAATATCCGTGCTCGACTTTTCATAGCCCAATAATATGATGAAAATGAATTGCCAGATGCCGTCGAATATAACAGTATCGTCGGGAGTGAATAATTGGTATAATATGTCGCGCGGCGTATTAAATACCGTTGAATTAATATAATTATACCGGCGGTCGCGGCGAAAATGTTTGTCTGTCCGATGTAAACGCACCCGCTAAAACCGGCGTAACCAGAGAGCGAGAAATACAGCGGAGAGTGACTTACACGTTGCGCGCGCGAAATGAAATATCGAGCGCTGAAGAGTCGTGGCTGGGTGATACTGACTCGCTGATTTATTTCGAACGGCCGATAGCGCGTCTCGCTCACACTACGACAAAGCTCGAAACTTTGAACGATCTGACCGTCTGAAATCGCGCTTTTATTAACGGGACTGTACATAGCAATGCTCGTAGTTGTGTAATAACGCGAGCGTTGAGTGCGTACGCACTGATGACAAATGAATCGAGTGCGACAGCCTTTTGAGGGACGTGAACAAAACTCAGAAACGCGTTCAACAGTGAGATATATCATTTGCTCGCGAACGAATATCGTAGGTATGATAAGCCGAGATAATTAACGGGAGGGTAGAGTTATTCGCTTTGAAGAGATGCTTGCATCAGGTAAAAAGGACTCACGTCGAGGAGATTCATCAAAGAGGCACGTCTGCGAGGATCAGGCTCCGTCATGGCAGCCAAAACCGACTGCAAGGCGGAGGAAGGCGAAACGGAAACGGTTCCCATTAACGCCGCCACTCTGGGAGTCGTGTCCAGTAACGCCCTTCCTAATGAGTACATCCACATCTGCAATCAGAATAAAATTGTTTTCTGTTGAATACATCGGACGCATTAGTATCGATATTATAGTCAGCGGCGAAAGTTCGCGATGTATCTTGAAATGCATTTTCTTATTTCGGCGCGAAAGACTGTATGAAGGAAACTGATAAATAAAGGAGCGACCATCTCTCGAGAAAAGATATTCTCGGGTAAATCCTTTTGGAGCTGACTAAACTGTATATCGCACGTCGAAGGATAATGTATCAATCTCGGGTCGTGACAGCCTGCTCCCATCCAAAGCGGATTTAACAATCGGATTTTTCTTATTTCCGTGAGAAAATATATAGGCATGCGCGCACACATGCGCGTAGGCACGTAGGAAGATTATAGTATAAATGATGGAATATCGGATATCGATATTTTGAAGAATCGATGCTCAATCAATTCATACCAATGGTTGGAATTATTTAGACCTTTGAGCAGATTTTTTCCCTTGCCTCTTCCGCTCCGGGCGAACAAACGGGTAACAAAGTGATCTTCTTCGGTTGATTTCAAGTAGACTTTACTTGAACAGAATTTTAATCTAAGGTTTGGTTTCAAAGATGTGTTATATTGAAAATTGTAAAGACATTGTAAATAATGACTTTCCTCGACATTTTCATTCAGGAAAAATTACTTTTTCTGATATGAAGAATCTTCCTGTACATTCCGCGGGAATTTTAAGACGCATCGTATATGTGAAAAACCAGTATTGATGTCATTTGGTGCATTTACATTTATTAGCAGTATAATTTAGCAATAACACGTTCACTGGCATGCGTCATGTCCGACGCATCTTTTGATTGTCACAAAAGAGCGACGTTACGTATGTGCGTTAGCGATTATTTTTTACTTTATGTCCACATAAACAAATGAAGTCTATTTTACATATAAAATAGCGTATAGTGAGGTTTGTAATGGACAGTTTATCCACTACAACGGTTAACATTCGCAGAATAAATAGCAGGATGACATCAGCAAGATGTGCTAAAAGGGCCGGCGAGCGTACGAACAACTTTTTATCCCATACAATTTCTGAACGCTACGCTTCGTTGTCATTTTTAATTAAGCTCGCCAGTACGTTTCGTTTCATCTGGCGACGCATTTGCCAGCGTTCATAATTAGAAATGCCGGAAACGCTCGGGACGCGTGGGATCTTCGCGAATTCAAGCTGCATCGGCTTCAAACTGTAGCCCTTTCTGGCTTCGTACTTTATTTATGTGAGAAGGAAAGCGACGGAGACCGTGTTGCATACACTGTTACGACATTTGCACGACTCTCACTGCTGCGGTGTCATTCTGACAGTTCGCCCGTGCACCATGTCGCGCAGTGAAAAATATAAGAGCGACGTCCGCCGGAAAAAGGTAGCGCTTTTTCACGCTGGCTTCGCGCGCCGCGCAGGTAATCGTCGTTCACCGTGATATTGCGGCCGTCGTCAGGCATTTCGCGATTTCCGGCAAGCGTGGCGGAGCCGTAAGCGGCGAGGACGGCGGGAGCGCATTATCGGTGACATATCTAGAACGTTTCGGGCCGAGGGCATAATTTATACCTGCACTCAAGATCAATCAAAAATAGTTTCGGAGACTCGTCCGAAGATTACTGCAGTTTCCTAACGTGTGTAGTCGGAAAATGGAATACGTTGCGGAAAGGTTACACGAGTGTGTAGATCCTTTTTATTACGGTAGAAGCTCGTGAGAAAGAGCAGAATTTCATTTCGGGCTTTTTTTTACCATAGTGAGTCTCCTCTCGCAGTTGTAGTGGAATCTCTTCGTCATCGTTCTCAAAAAGATCGTCCCTGTGATAGTTTAGTAGGGGCATGTTCGGTAACTTTTCAGAATTTCGGTATCGAAACTTTTCAGACAATTAATCGTTGTGATTGACTAAACAACGATGATAGCGGCAACCTTCCTCTATGTTTTTATGTTACGAAAGATCCTATAATCTGTATAGTTTCGTTTGTAATAATCAAAGCACGAACATATGTGCGAACGTGTTCGGGTATTTGGCCCGAAAGTGACTCGGGATATTAGCATTATATATAATAAATATGATTGAGACACGTATGTGCGTTTAAAGCTATTTAATAATAAAGCAGGAATTATATTATAACATGTTTTCGATTGTCAGAATATAATGAATTTTTCTTTTTAGTTATATTAACGTATGTCATATTAGCGTAAGTCATCACTGTGCTAAAGTATATATTTTGGAAATGATTGAAGTGTCCAATTAGAGATTACATACAAAGTATCAGATAGATGAAAAAATAGACAAGAACTGCATAAGACAAATGTATTTATACTTTTAAATACGAAACATGAAATTTTCAAGAATAACGAAAAATAATATTTGAAGTATCAGACTGTTTAAGAGCATAATACTTAAAGATGCAAAAGAAATTATATCCTTACAACGACAAAAAAATCGTAATAATGATAAAAAAAATAATAATGTATTAACCTGCCCCATCCGCTTATTTCTTAGGTTTCAGTAATTTTATCAATGAATATTACTTTTATTACACAAAATAGTATATATCACACTGTTGTATAAATTATGCCCTCAAACTTCATTTTAACTAATTACATGTCACTTAAAGGTTTAACCAATCACGATGGAGAATATTAAGAGAAAGTTTCGAAACTCTAAAAAAATTTACTCAGTTACTTCAAATCACATTTTTCTTTTGGTTAACTGTAAAATTTTTCAAATTTTAACGAAAATTGCAAACTGGCACTTATGTCCTGAAAGGAACATTTTGCGACTCTTTTCACATTATGTCTTTCGCAGTAAATATAGGAACGAAATATTTTACTAATCTGCTTCTCGTTCGAACTTTCCTTTTCAGTACCCTTCACTTTTAACGAACTAGTAATTATTTCCAGTTCAAACACGCTACGTAGTTTATCATAATTTTTGCGAACGCAACAAGGCTGTGAACTTTACCGATTATAATTATTTCTCCGATTATATAACTCCGTTCAGATCTCGTCGACGCAAATCGGAGTTTATTCCTCGATACCAGACTTTAAAATGTCGTTAATAGAGTTGTATCGGTCTACTTTATTCGATCGGGATTGGATGTTGCATTTTAATATTAGTTTGTGCACAAACAGAAGACAGATTGGGATAAGATTCTTTAATGAGTTTTATTGAGAGAGAACTTTCGTATTTCGCGTTAAATCAATACTTTGCGATGAAGACAACCAATATCCTTTTGTGTGTCGCGAAAGCGCAGCAGGAAAAATATCTTTTATTCAAACTTACTGCGTTTCCTTGCCGCTACTTTGGAGTCGGGAAATGAGTTCTAGTTTCTGCGTAATGAAATACTCGAGTTAATAATACTTGGTTGTATAAAACCGTTCGCATAATATTTCTCCTATTGTCACATACATGACGCAATCTTCGTCTTCACTGATATCATAAATTCACTCATAAATCGTAATACTACTTTTTCTTTGTACGTTTATTGACAGACGACGCGTTGATGTAGGTAAAGAGGATAAGGTGATGACCACAAGATTTGTTTTTTTTCCTCATTTTCATAGCAACGTAAAAATAATGATCATTTTTTTTCTGAATAGCTAAAGCCTTGCCTATTATCTGCGTAAAAATGTATAAATAAGTTAAAATTTTAATTTAATTTTTTAAGGACATATCAATTTCGTCATCTTATATGTGGATGAAATGAAAGTTAAAAATAATTTTTTTTATACATACCAAAAATATATTTGTTATTTGACTCAGTTTCGCGTGAACTTCCGCGAGAGGCCGGAATCCAGAAAGCGCGAGAGTTCCCGCTTGCGGTTCTCTTCTTACGCGGGAAAGTGTTATTTACTCCAACATAGCCCGACAAACATCGTCGCCATTGAATCTTCGTAAATGCGGTGGCTTTACTGCCACGTGTTTGTGTCAACGTAGTTACCGTGCGGTGTCCTCTCGTCATCGCACGAACGTAAATTACACCTGATCATCTGCTTGCGTGATTAACGAGCGATATGGATGCAGCTGGATGCATCAGAATTTCTGCGAGGACTTATCTCCTCGTTAGGTGAAAGCGAGAGAGAGGGAGAGCGAGCGGGGAGGTTTCAAATCGACGATACAAAAGAACGATGCGCCGAAGTTTATTTATCGTTCGCGCCGTTTATTCTCCCTTTAATCTGCAGGAGATAAATACCGGTCGCACTGAAACAACGAAGCTCCATCCGGCCGTCGACGGGAAGAAAGGATGGCGCGCTAAAGGGAACGAAAGGGATCGCAGCGAGGTAGGAGGAGGACGCAGAAAGAGCGAGAAAATCCGCCGAACACGCGGAGTTGCGGGGCGGGGGAAGACGCACAGAGGCGACGGCGGGATTTCGCTGAAGGTACACAAAAACTGGCATGAACCAGCGCCAGCTCCCTGTTGCGCCCCCTTTTCCGTTCTTCGAGTCCTTCGAACGGCTCGCAGCCCCGTTAAAAATTCACTCGTCGCTGAAACGCGAAAGTCGGGCAAATAAAAAGCCCGAGCCGTCAAAGGACAGCCGTGTCGGCTTAATCCCTCTCGCGCTGAAAGGATTTTAATAGGACACGTTAATAATTCCCCGCGTGATGCTCTTTTAATTATACCTATCGGCGGCCTCGCCCCCTTCAATAAATACGCTACCACTTACGAGCGCGTGTACGCGCGTATAATTCGGCCGACTGGAGGAACGAAGCTCCGTGTCACCGATAAACATGTTTTGTCCGACCGCTTCCCCCCGGCGCAATATCGTCATATCGAATTTTGCGTTATCATTCGATTCCGTTTCAGATATTATTTATCTTTTACGAGCATAATATCGCCACGACTATCTGTCGAATATCGCATTACGTGAATGATCAGCCGCGAGTTTACTGCAGCAATTCGCGTCGCAAGTGATCCGTTTGATTGGAAAAAAGAGGTCTTTCTCGATGAACATGATTTTGGCATGTACGCCGCATAGTACGACGAAACACCGAAATTTCTGGCAAAAATTCGATTTTGCCAACTTCCTTTCAAATTAACATTTTTTGCTTGGGTAACGAAATCAATATATAAGAATATAATTTTCCCTGATAAATATGAAATGTATGAGTAGCCCCTTGATGTACTATTGAAAATGTCACACTGATCTATATTTACAACGTGTAAGCGTCCAAAGAGATAACGCAGGCATAGATATATAAATAATAAGATAGTCAAAAGTTTATGGACGGCTTTTTTGGTTCTTTCGTGCATGCCGGATCTCTAAACGCGCAGTAAATGGCCAATTTCCGTCGCATCGTCGAGAAGCAGATCTGCAAATGAAGTGCCGGAAGGTCGCTCTGAAATCTATCGAACGGGCCCGCCCAAAGTACGCAATTCGTTATTGGATTAACGGCGCGTCATTAAGCTCTGCTGAATGTGACGTACTTTTTCCGAATCCGTGTCCGAATAAACGCGGCCGGGTCGATATTCTGGCGGCAGGTACGCTCGAGCAGTTTCCGGCGGTGCAAGCTGCAGTAAAACCCTACCACGTGGTGTCAGTTCCAGCGTGTGCGGAGTCACCACTGGGCCTGTTCTCGAACCACCCACTACGCCTCCATCTGGAACAAATATTAATGGGAAATGTGAGCTTGTCGTCGGCCATGAATTTATTTCCATTTTGCTACCCCGTGCTAACGCGCGGAAACGATGGGAAGTGAATGTCTTTGTATTTTATAAAAATATCTCTCTAAAATAGAAAAAAAAGAAAGAGAGAGAGAGAGAGAGAGAGAGAGAGAGAGAGAGAGGCGAAGATTTTCTCCGATAATTTTAAACAGCGACGCGTACGAATGCAATCGCAATTGCTTTAATAGTGCAAATCATTAAAAATATCCCTCGGCTTTTTCAAAGATAAAAGCTGCTTGGCATTTAAATATAAAATTGTATGTATGCGTGTCTTTTTCCATTAAAAAAAATTAGCCTTTCTATCTGTTTACAGAGAGAATTTCTATGCAACGTTATCCTCTATGGAAAAAAAGAGATTATAATTCATTGCAGATTCAAAGGATAGAGACTTCTATTGTGAAAAATTAAACATGCAAAAATTCTGTCGGTCCATTAAATCGCATAACGTACCGCGGAATTGCCGCGTATCGGAGAAACACTTTTCTCCGCCGACGATATCGGCCCGACGTGCTATAATTTACCGGCGTGTTTTGCATAATTACGATTTCGTAACGAAAAGGCAATTGGTCATGTGAGCCCGAAACTACTTATGGAGAACTAAGGTCATAATTAATTCTTCGACTAGTTAGTAAGTAGGGAACAGGCTTAAAACCAGTCGGAAGTTAGCCGCAGGTGCGCGCACGTAGGGACTCCTACTCGGGCGATGGGATTTTCCGGAAATTACCGGGTTTATTTATCGGGTCGGCGCGCCTCTGCCATCTCGAGTCATTTATTATCATTTGTAACAAGCTTCTTTTCAACGTCTGCGAGCTATCTCCTCGAAGTTTCTCGAAATCGTATAGGCGCCTGGAGCGTAATTGAAGGGAAATTGCATCTACGTTGGGAAAGATTGAGGAAACCCCGGGCCCCAGCAAGCCTCCCCCTGCGAATCTCGTCGTTCTGCAAACTCGCGATCTCGTGCTTTTCATCGATCGTGTCTCTAATTGCTCCGACGCCGACTCTTTTTAGATGGTTACTCGCCGATCTCTTAAACTTCTTCCGATCGAGCTAACGACGGAAGTCGATCGAAATTGTGTTTTCTTCTTGCAGTTCTCGTATTAAATCGGTCGTAGTTATTATAGTAACACCGAGTTCACAAGTCGATGATCGATTCGATGTCGACGATTGATTTTTCGGACCATCGTAGATGTGATAATTATGAAATTTTTCAAAGAGAAAAATAGGTAGCAATCAGCTGGAACAAGGTCGGGAGAATACGAAGGATGAGGAAGAACATCCCATTCGAAGTCCAGCAACTTGCTACGGATGGGCATAGCAACGCAAACATTTTTACTTATTTCTCTAACATAGAATCTGCCCTGCAAGTTTGTCAATAGAGTTGAGATACACCCTGCATATTGGTTTCACTTTAGCATCTTAATAATAACTCCCGAGTCATCTCGTTTCTCGCCGGAACATTGGCGCTTTTGTTTAACGGCAAACAGTCTGGCCTGAAGTGCTGGACCATCCATTATACGCCGTTCCCCGTTATAAATCCCGTATAATTCGCCATTGGGGTGCTAATTCTGTGCGTGTCACGGACATTAACAGCCTAATGGTAGGCTAAAGCGCCTTGACACGGGGAATATTCTCCCGCAAGGTACGCCCCGGTAATTTAGGCAAGCGCTTCGACTGACAAATTCTTCCCTCCGGCCCCGCGGGAGATTCAAGGAAATTAGCGAAGGCTGTGACAGAATCGATACGCTAAACGATTAATGCCGAGCACGCTCGATTAACTTTGGTTAATAATCGTGCGAGCGCGTAAATCATAGTCGCGTCTTGTATTGACGGCGGTAACCGGGATACTGTTTGCGCCGTGAAATATTTAAGATTGATCGCGCCTCGGGCATTTGTATAAATATTTGAAATGTATACAAATTACGCACGTCTTCAAATGGGATCTGACACTCGCGGGTCAAATTGATCCAAGCGAAAAATTCAGACTTTATAATTATCAAATCTGAAATTATTACACGTACAAACATAGATTTCTTTCCCTACGACAATTTTTAATTCTTTCTCTGTAAAATCAACGTATTCTTTTCTTTGATATCTTACCTTTCTATTTTAAAAATAATTGTGACAAATTTACTTCAACCTCAAAAATAAAAATCAAAATTTACTTTTTTCTTTCAAGCTCAAAACTATAAGTCTGCATACCATTTGTGGATAAACACATTTATATCAGATATTTAAGTAAAGGCATACATAAAATAGATGACCGGGCTTCATAGACCCGGTGTGCCAAACTGAACGGCAAAATGTATGTATGTAAATGTATGAATGCCAAGGAAAGGTTAACACGTTCGCGACTATTTTTATTTGGGAAACTCTCTCCATATTTTTTGGTGGAATATAATCTCCATATTAATTGCGTGGAACAGACCTGGTTTGTTTTTGTGGACATAGAAGAAAAAATTACATATAACATTGGTCTCTCGCAAAAGAGATCGTCGCGTCACACGTGTGTGACAACGGTAACGCACGTATTAAGGTCTAAATCCGATTAAGAAGCACTGAATTTCGTTCACATATTCGATACAAAATTACGATGACTGACTTTTGTAATAATTCCGGGTGAGACTGTTTCTCGTGTGCGCCGTACGAAATACGTGAGTGAAATTTTATTGCAGCAGCGATGCACGATAACCGTCGCCGTTCAATTGCGTGCGCGTCGGCCGATGATACGAGTCTTGATTTTTTATCCTTTCAGTAGTCAATCTTCGCGAACGATCGGACAGCTCTCCATGTAAATTAGGAATCGGAGATGGTCGAGCTACCGGCGATAAACTATTTCCGTTCACCGAAGATTCAAGCTCTAAGGAAATTAAGAGGATCTGAACGGATCGACGTGTTTCCTGCTAAACCTCGTCTAATCTCCAGACGGAGGCGACTCGCGTAATCACATCGTCGTGATCATTAGCGGAACATTTTCACGTCGGCCTAAAGGACCGTTTACATTGAAATAATTTGAAAGTATTAATGCATATTTTTATATTTGGGTCACTCGTGTGAGCCTCATACTTTTTTTTATTTTTTCGTCCTGCTACTCCACTTTTCCTAGCAAGGATTAAATTTGCAATACACATGTGCGTATATATCTTCGAAACGATCGATCTACTTTTAATTGAGATGTTCATAAAAAGAGTTTTCTCGTTATATATTCTTTTCGTATAAAACCGAATGTAAATTTGATCGATTCGCTGCCGCGATTCGGTCGGTTTTTTTAAATATTAATTTGCATATTGCACATGTTAATTATCAATGCCATTTGCATTTCGTTGTCAGGAAGAAATTCACCGGGCGAACTGGCACAGCGTTACAGCGGCCTTCGCGTTATCTATCACTGTCGGTTTTTGTTAGCGGCCGATGTTTCGTCCAATGTTGCATCAGTAGTCGATCTCTGTAAACGACCGGACACGCTCCAACGACGCAATTCGATCGTGACGGCAAAACGAAGGCGCGACTTGTGCCGTGTGATGTGCAAGAATCACTCGAAACTAATGACACAGCAATCTGCCGGTGGCAGACACGATGCATGCGCAACAAAACGTAAGCTCGCCGTTCGTGTAGAACATTTTGCTAGAAACGAAAATCAATGGACAAAATTCGGCCGGCGCGTAGAAAACGGCAGTTACTATTTACGGAATTTAATATAATATTGGGAAATTACACGTATATGTGTATGTGTGTGTATATGTGTGGAATTTGCGGAACGTGAGAAAATATATGCGGTTCGTTTATAAATATTTGTTTACTTTTTATTTTATTTCGTTTCGAAACAATATTTGACGTCGAATCTTCTCTACACTTTAACAAATCTTATTCGGAACTTCGATTGCATAATATTGGATTATATATTTTAAATCCTTATGTGTGGTCAGTCGTAAAAAGGTTGCAATACCTTTTTCTTCTAAATTTTGGAACGTATGCTGTGTCCAATAAGAGAATTTGTTTTTTTAATATAATATATTTTCAGGAGATACACGGAGAAAGATAATTTTATTGTTGTAGCGAAATATAAATCGTTGCTACTGCATATTCGTTGCGGCAGCAATAAAATTTAGTTGGTGTAATCAAATTATTTTGCTGTCTATATATCCAATAAAATTAATTAATAATCTTAACAATTTTCTCGCTGTCCAAAAAAATTTTTTGCTGTCCCAACAGTAACTAACAATTTACTATGCCAGCAAAATATTTTTCTCCGTAGAACTATATAGAACAAAATAGTAGAACAAAATAATTTTCTCTCTAGAAACTTTTGCATGAAAATTTTCCTACGTTTTATGCGATAGTAAGTCTCCCAGTTTATATGTTTTCGTTAAACACTTCGAATGTGTGTGTATGCGTGTGCATAAAGCCTTCCCACTGTCCATTTTAATATTCTTGGACAAGTAAAACGTATTAGGGAATTGATTGCGGGATTCGTTTAAAACGTCATTTGGACACATTAGCTGTAGTAACAATAGTTCTTCCTTGTTTTCACATCGAGTTGCTGCAGAGACGACGAGCGAGTCCTTTGAGTATAATTAACGCGTAACATTAATTACTGTCGGCGGGCTTTTGCAGCTGTATTGTTTCGTTAATGCGCGAAGTGAACTTTCACGAGCGCATACAACAATAAACATGTTTACGAGGTCTTCATACGTGATTGATGATCATGCGTTCACTCGAAACGTTAGGCTGGCCTCTCCACATCCCATTACGCCTGCCGCGTTTCCCCACGCACAGGTCAAAGCAAATCTCGTTGTCTGTCGCGAAGATCGATCGATCTTCATTCGGCCGATATCATGGGCAACGCTACAATTTCATCACATTCCTACGAGGGATTTTTGACGCGACGAAAGAATATTCGAGATTTTGGACTGGACTCGGGTATATACACATTTCCTTG